GCCCCCCCGCCGCCCCCGCGCGAGAGACAGGGGGGGGGGGGGGGGGGGGGGGAAACGAGAGGGAAAAAAAAGGTGTGTAGTGGACAGGATCAACCGATAAGCCCATCGTGTAGTCGTCTGCACATTGACATCCCTAATATGTATGCAGATGGCTTTTACATAATCAATAAACCAAAATGGTAACTGACACAGGTCCCAATAAAGAGCACTTAAAAAATCCCCAGACAAATGAAACTAAAACTGCTTCCTCTAGCAAGGCAACCCTAGAAGTAAAAGATGGAGCATCTTCCAGAGCGCTTTTTAGGACAAAGGCAAGGCCTCATTATATGCTTATGCAGTGTCTGAAACAGCAGGGCCTGGATCCTAACTGGGCTTTAACAAAAATAATATCAATTCCAGAGTCAAAAGCCTTGTCTGCCATCAAATGTGTAAGTCTACAGCGTTTCAGTTAAATGAACCATGAAGTAGACTCTCAACCAGAACCAAAGTTGCAGGGCTTCATGAATCAAAACCAACCACTTGAATTGTATTTGGAAGTAAATGGAAAGCTTGGGTAACGTACAGAGCACATGTATAATATACTGTACTAGATTTACTAAGCATTGCTCAGGTCCTAAACTCAATTTTGTTTTTTTGGAAAACAAAATGTAAATGCGCACACTTCATTTGAATCATTGCTCTGGGGTGGGGCTGGGAGGAGGGGTTCAGGATACAGGCTGCCCCAGGGAGAAGGGACAGCCCCAGCCAGCGCAGCTTGGGGCCAAGTGATAAGCACCTCTCCAGGGCTGCTGCAGCTTCAGCAGGCATAGCTGGGGGAGGGGTGCACGTCCCCCACCTGGGGTATGTCCAGGATCCTCTGCCCCTGGCACTCCACAGACAGAGTGAGGAATGTAGCAAACTCTGCACTTTCCCTTCCCTTGCTGAGAAGGAAAACAGCCAGCACTGTTCCCGTACAAAGGGGAGGGGTGAAGGAAAGCTTCAGCCCCCCCCCTCACCTTAATGGGTGCCTGCGGGAAGGGAGGATTGGGGCTGTGGCAGTCCCAGGGACAGGGGCTGTGCCCTTAGCCAGTCCCTTTCACCTGCCTGGTGGTTCTGTCTCTTTTCTATATGGTTTTATGAGACGCAATCTCATTCCAGGCACAGCCAAACCCTGACCATGCTTTCAGTTATAAGAGGAAGCTATATCCTGAATTTGGTGGTCCTAGCTCTTTCCATTTAGGAGGAGTTCTTAGACAGACAGACAGACAGACACAAACTCTCCAAATGTACAGTAGATATAAGAAACAGGAAAACCTGTTGGCGTAGGGCAGGGGCCAGCAACCTATGGCTCAGTACGGAACCAAATGCAGCTCTTTTGTCATTCCCAAAATACATGCACCTCTTTAAATTAAAATGAAAAAAAAAACATTCAAAATTTAAAAAATGCATAATTACTCACGTCAAGATGGTGTTTTTTGGTCTATTTCCCCTTTAACCAGAGGTGAAAGTAAGGAGGTGCGCCCCGGTAACAGCTGGCTGCCCTCCAGCAAAGGCCAGCTAGGGGACTCTGCTTGCTTAAAGGGCCAGGTGAGGCATCCTGTAGGGGATGCGTGCACGCTCCAAGCTGGGACATCCAGCTGCAGTGTCCTGGCTCCAGCCCCTATCTGACTGCTGCGGTCTGTCCCCAGCTGCCATGTTCCTAAGGTGGCCCCACAACTGCTACCACAGCCCGGCCATGGCAGCCTGGCCAACAAGGCCCCAATCAGGGCCCAACCCCCAGCCCCATCTGGCTGCAGTGTCCTGGCCTCAGCCCTGATCCTGGGACAGGCCCCATGGTCTGGGCCCCGTCTGGCTGCAGGAAGGGCTGGCGGTGGCCCCCCTCCTGCCGGGCATGGTTAGGAAGGGAGGCCACGATCTGGCTGTGGTGATCTTGGGCAAG